GTTATGTTACGGGTGCATTAGTTTGGGTGATTGACTTGTATTTTTAGATGTATTATTTGGATAGATTTGGGTAGCTGTTTTTAATTAAACTGTAAGGGTTGGTGATATGTGCGGGGTGTTCAAGTGTTTTGTATGTTAGGCCCTTTTTGAACTTAACCCTACCCCTACCCTACCCTACCCTACCCTACCCTACCCTACCTTACACTAACCTACCCTACACTACCCTACCCTACCCTACCCTACCCTACCCCTACCCTACCCTACCCCTACCTACCTACCCTACCCTACCCTACCCTACCCCTACCCTACCCTACCCTACCCTACCCTACCATACCCTTACACTACCCTACCCTACCCTACCCTACCCTACCCTACCCTACACTACCCTACCCTAACCCTACACTACCCTACCCTACCCTACCCTTCCCTACCCTACCCTACCCTACCCTACCCTACCCCTACCCTACCCTACCCTACCCTACCCTACCCTACCCTACTACCCTACCCTACTACCCTACCCTACTACCCTACCCTACCCTACCCTACTACCCTAACCTACCATACTATACTCTACCCTACCCTACCCTACCCTACCCTACCTAATTCTACCCTACCTAACTCTACCCTACCCTACGCTACCCTACCCTACCATACCCTACCCTACTACCCTACCATACCCTACCCTACCCTACCCTTCCCACCCTACCCTACCCTTCCCACCCTACCCTACCCTACCTTACCCTACCCTACTACCCTATCCTACCCTACCTTACCCTACCCTACACTACCCTACCCTACCCTACCCTACCCTACCCTACCCTACCCTTACCCTATCCTACCCTACCCTACACTACCCTAACCTACCATACCCTACCCTACCCCTACCCTACCCTACCCCTACCCTACCCTACCCTACCCTACCCTACCCTAACTTACCCTACCCTACTCCTACCCTACCCATACTCCTACCCTACACTACCCTACCCTACCGTATACCCTACCCTACCCTACCCTACACTGCCACCGACAGTCCAAGTTTCAGCTAAATCGGCCCAGAAACGGCTGAGATATTACAGAAACAAATTAATTGTATTTACTGGCGAATCCCCTTGGCGAACGGTGCCTTGTGTCGGCCTTCGTTGTCAAAGGTCAACGACCTCCCGGCTCTGATGCTTTTGACTCAGTTTTTAAGCGAACAACTGAGCCTAAAGCACGTGCCCTCTGCTCGGCGCCGGTCGCGGCCCCACCACGTGCACACCGCTGAACCCACACCCTCGAAAATTTAATACGACAAATGAATGCACGCGCTCGACTTGGCATGAAAATTTCACCCCCGTAGCCCTTACCGTTCCTGAGCAATGGCCTGTTTTTGTCGATTCTAATGCTAACCCTATGGCGCACATGAGCACGCGCCACGGGCGCACCCCCGGCCGCATCGTGCCCAAAATTTAATACGACCTGTTCATTTACGTGACCCACGAGTGGCAAAAATTTCACTATCCTGCGTCAATCGACGGCGCCGCAATAAGCGTTTTTGGGAGTAACCCCGACGGCGGCGGCGTGGGCGGCGGCGGACTTTTTAAGATTTATAATAGTAGATAATATAGATAAAAATTCAAAAAATTTGGTCCCAAAGGCATAAAAATGCAAATGAAAGGAAACTCGATATGTTATATAATATATATAAAAAATACTTTATATTTCAAAATTTTAAAAATGCATATTATTCTTTGTTTAAATGCAAATTCAATGGCGTATAGCATTTGGCATTTGGATTATTCGTCTTAGAGTTATAGCCCGCCAAACTTGGCGCTGCAACGCAAGATCTAAAACATGGTATACATTATAACTCAAAAACTACTCATCTGATTAGCCTGAAATTGTCACAGGATGATTCAGACCCCTGATCACCCCTTATACCAATTATCGTTCAAATCCGAGAGATAAGGGTGTCAAATTGGAAAAAAGTGGTACGATCTATCGTGGAATGCCCCAGCTGTATCTTTATTATGTGACAAGTTATTGGCACAAACATCATTTGACCTCAGTTGACCTCATTTGACCGGACCCATGGATAAGTATACCAAACAAAGAACCACCAAGTGACATAATGTTAAGTACTAAAGTTGGCACAAACATCATTTGACCTCAGTTGACCTCATTTGACCGGACCCATGGATAAGTATACCAAACAAAGAAGCACCAAGTGACATAATGTTAAGTACTAAAGTTTCAAAGCACAAAATTGATAGAACGAAGCGGATATCTCCAGTATTTTCCGAATTGAATATTTTCCCATAGGCTTCGACGTAATGACCTCTATCTGACCTCAGATCAGTGACATAAAAAACTAACTACATATATGTTATACAATTCGGTGAACTTAGCACATCCTGAAAGTTTGAAGGAAATCAGACCAAAACTGTGAGGTGGACAGATGCATAAAAAATTGAAATTTGACCATGACCTCGTACCGGTTTTTCTGACCTGGTGACCTGACCCAAGGTCACCCGGACCTGAAATTTTCAGGTCATATGTAAAAAGGTTGCCCTATAGGCTGTGCCAAACTGCGCCGCTGTTTTTACGCTATCTTCGAAAAACCTTAGGGGGGGGGGGTCGCATCGACCCCCCTGCCAGAGCGAGGGTTAATCAATTTTGAACAGTTTTTCGCTATAGCTTCGCCAAAGAAAGAGGTATCGATTTCAAATTTGTTATGTGGTTGAAAGGCCATAGGGACTATACATATATTCCGTGTTTTTCGAAATTATTAATTTTTTGATTTTTCGGCTTTATATTCAAAAATTTATTTTTTTATTTTTGGGAGTCACAATTCAAAAATTTCAAACATCGGATATAGCAGTTTTATAGCGCTGTGAATTCTACACTTTTTATATCTAAACATTTTTCTGTATCTCTAAAGCTGTAGGCCTGACAGCTCTTCCCGCGAAACCTTTTTTTGGGGTCGAAAATGGCTGAAATGACGTCACTCCGACGTCATTAGCGGCCAACCTATCATAGCCTTTGGAAATTTTTTGTCACAATATGTAAAAGCTATTCACGGGAGGATACTGAAACTTTTGTGACGATCGACGCAGCGGTTCTGGAGAAATATCGAAAAAGACTAAAGGGGGAGGGTAAAAAAATACCCCCCCCCCCACCGCCTGGAAGGTTAAACGTAGAATAACAGCCCTAAGCCCTCGCCAAGACGGTGCTCGTTACCACCTTCGTCTTCACATGTTACCGAGGACTGCTTCAACGTCACCCGCTTAGCTCGGCTCCCGGGCCACGTAGCGACACGCGGAGGGCGGCATTAGAAAGTCGAAAAAATAACGACGAAAATACTTCGGTGTCAAACTAAACCCTCGCCCGTATCGGTGTTTCTTTTTCAGCCACGAAAGTATAAGGGGGAGAGTCCGTTGGACCTCCCTTGCCGTTTCGCCCCTGATCGAGCTAGATCTTTGCGGAAAAAACGAGCGTGTTGCCCGTGACGAGAGGAAGCCGATGATACCCAATTTTAAGGTCCTAGGTCATCGGTTGACCTTCCAGGTCAGGTCAGTGACCCAAAAGTCGGGAAAACCGGAACCTGTTAGAACGTTGTAAAACGTGGCTGCTATGGGGGTTTTCGGGGTGCTGATCACGAATATCATGTTAGTTATGATCATAGATGATGGCTTTATGCATTTAGGCCAGATCGGGTCAGGTCAGGTCACTGGTCAGGTCAACTAGTAAGGGTTTTGCCGGGATTCGTAGTAGGTGACAACCGCCTCTGACAGCTTCGTAACATGTTACGAAGGCACCAAAAACTACTTCATAAATGTTCAAATGGTTGCTAAATTCGAATTCAGCTCCAAAAACTAGTCTAGAAACATGTAAAACTCGAAAAAGTAAACCGAGGTCATCAAAGGTCAAGACCTGACCTGACCTTCCGGTGACCTTGACACCCACCCTTATGCATGGGAGCAGCATCATATCACATGTTTGAACGCTTGAAACCACGAAAAGACTGCAAACGCGCAGCTAATGCGAGCCGACATACGCCGATTCACGATTCCGGCCAAGCATGGTCTCAAAAAGCAGGTCATATGTCAAAGGTCATTATGGTCAGGGTCATGAAATTTTCAGGGTAGGTGTAAAATTGATAACGCGAGGGTACTGAATGTTTCGTTGCGATCGGCTGCTTTATACGCGAGTTATTCGCGAAAAACCGAGGGGGGTCCGTTCGAACCCCCCCCCCCTATACGAGCGAGGGTTAAGGTCAGGTCACCAGAGGTCATCCAAGGTCAAATTTCGCCTGTTTCAACACTTTGAAAAATTAACCCATAGATCTGAAACGAACAGAGCTACAACGACTCGAAAACTCATTTGATAGCTCTTCTAAAGCTCTTTCTGAACGGTTTTCTCTGATTTTATCTAAGGCCAATGGTGTAGCCCAAGTGTAGCCCCCTGATTGGACCCCGCCCGCTAATTGTTCGAACGTTGATCTACATGGAGTTTTGCGGGAAAAGTAACGTATTGCCCGTTTCGAGAGATAGCTGCTTTTACTCAATTTGAAGGTCTTAGGTAAGGAATTTGTAGGTATCACCCAGGCTAGGTCGATGACCCAAAAGCCAGGAACATTTGGACCAGTGAGAGTTTTTTTGTGACTAGTTTTTGCGATATTTTACTTTTTTTGATTTCAAAGTTTGCATGCGTTTCGTCAATACCTAATGATACAGTTATGCAATATCCAATATGAATTCTAGATAAGTCAGGTCAGGTCAAATCAACCATTAAGCATCATGCCGGCTATTTTTATTAGATGTTCATGTCACCACGGAAAGCTTTGCACCATTTGACATGGCTCAAAATCGTTTTCCCTAATGCTCCGCTGCAAATAAATGCTTAGCCTTATCAGTTCCAAAACTACCCAAATAAGCTGCAAAAACAAAAAGACAACCTAGGTCATCATAGATCAATGACCTTGACCTGACTTTAACGTGACTCGTTTCTGTTCACAAAATAGTTTGATAATGCACATATGTAGGATGTGGGCTGGCGCGTCGAATCGACATTATGAATAGACATTCTGACATCATGACTAAGCCTCGACCAGAGAAAGAGGTCACAAGTGGAAGGGTCAACGGCCATTTGGGTGAAGCCAAAGGCAACAACATGCGGTTTTTCCACAAGGTTCCAGCCAAATAAGATGCGAACCGGTGAGGGATGCGTTCCACTCGTACCCCTCCCCCAGCCGGGGCGCATGTAGAAAACCGATAGGTCCAGCGCGGACTAGAGTATAAACTTTGCTTCAAACGACCTTTTTGTAGCAGTAATTCGGTTTGTAAGAAATTAATGAAGTAGGTAAAATTTCACCTTTGATGAATGCCAGTGAAATCGAAAGTGGAGCGGGAACGACTTGTGGCCCCCTTTCTATCTTTTCCTCTATCTGTGCTCTGACAGCCTTTGATGCCTCGTTTCAGGCCGAGAGTAGTCGCTGACGAATGACGATGTTCGACGCCGCTGGCACCCCATGACTCGTCTTCTTTCCAATGACAAGACCACGACAGTCCGACCTCTTCACAGGTGAGCAGATCTCTGAACAGTTAGCACTTCTGGTATGCATCACGGTTTTTGTATTTTTATATGTTTTAATAACTATCCATTTTTGCTCTCCGCCTCCACAAGATTCTTTGATTCTTCGATTCTTTTGCTCCTTCGTTTGATCCTTCTCGTTTCGGTGAAATACCTTCCAAAATACGATCATCAGCTTTTCTCTGATCTTTCTCCTCTTCCTTGATCTTGTCTATTGTTACCGCCTCTGTGGTGTCACCCTTCAACTATCGCTGCCATAGAGGAATCCCTCTTACGTAACGTTTACGGCGCGTGCGGTTGTGTAACTTGACGTTAACCCGCGAGTTGCTGGGGAGGGGGGGGGGGGGCGTTAAACGCCCCCACTTTTTTCGCCGGGCCATAGCATAAAAACGTCGCGCTTGGGTACCTGTAGGGAATTGATTGAAGTTTATTGTGACAGTTTCAAAAAAAACGGTCGGCAAATTTTTGAGATATCGAGGTTTTAGTGACTTCATGATTTTGATTTTTTAGTGACGTCATGATTTTCATTGAGTTTTCGACCAAAAACGGCATATGTTCAAAAAATCATATAAATCACAGAATAGACATACAGACATGCCGTAAACGCCATTAGACTGCCAATACCTTGAACAATCAAATGGCTATCTTCGATTATTGATTATCGTTCCGAATTTTCCAAAATCTTGAACTGAATCTTGGCAATTTCTCGTGACTACTTCACGACCATGATACATGCATTTCTTAAATTGAACTTTTTTAGCCAAACACGTACACATATGATAAAATGAATGTCACCATCGTGTTCTACGCCCCAAATTACCCTTAAATCATGTGTCACAGGCTGCGAATATCAGTTTTGATTTTCGGGGATATGTGCCTACCCGATTGACCTGACCTTGACCCTGACCTATGCTTGATTGACCCCTTCATGGAGCTGACACTCTTGTAGGCCTTATATGATGAATTGTGCACCGTTTTGACAGAGTTTATGACGAGAGGCGCCCATTGTGAAGTCCTGAAGTCCATGCTACTGAAAGCCCGATTTCAGGTGTTTGACCTGACCTTGACCCGACCTGTGACCTCAAAATTCAACTTTAAAGTACTCATCTGAAGCGTCTCGTCGCGTTCTTTCGTTTGCCGCCTCGTGCGTGTCGTTGCGCCTATTGGTTCTCGAGTTATCGGCTGGGGGCGTTTAACGCCCCCCCCCCCCCCCTAGCAAACGGCGGGTGGCGAAATACCCCAGCAACTGCCGGGTTAAACAGAGCGCAGATAAATTGATTCATCGTATCCTAAAATGATTCCCATAAACGCACACGCCTAATCTACTTTAGCCCATGTGGTGGCGTGTGTTAGCAGTTCAGTTGCGTTTAATCTGTGAAAATCAACAAAGCTGATAGATTCCAGTGCACACACTGGCTTACACCCTTTTCACGTCGGTGAAGGTTGTTGTGGGAACTCTCCCCGCCTCGTCCCTAGAGTGCTTTGATGTTAGTTGGGCGTGGAGCAGACGCTTGCTGCATCATTCGACAGAACGAACACTTTCAACAATACCAAATGCTTCAAAGCCGAGTCCGCTCAGCCATCAGGCTGGTGCAACTCATACATACTCGTATACCAGCTATAGTAATAGCTACCAGCTAAAAATTGTTGGCAAGTAAATTCGTAGCGCGAACAACTACTTATGTAGGGGAGAGTGCGGCACATTCTTGCAAAATATCGATAAATCCATATGTCTGTTCTTTGGTTGATGCAATGGTAAAATTGTTGATTGTAGCATGGAAAGGAACATTTGCAGATATTTTCCTCTTGAAAGTTATCTTTTAAAATTATCGCTTTTATAAGAAAAAATGACTTTTAATAATTCTGAACGTTTGCACGAAACTACCCCACGTATGGGCACTTCCGTGCACCCTGCAAAGCTCGAGGAATTACCGAGCATTTCCAGAATTTACCAAAAGCAATTGGCACGGGGCCATTTAATTCGATTCCTTTCGACAAGAATGCATTGCACAACAAATGTAGAAAGCATGGGCTGGCCAACTGCAAACTGCCGACCATCGACCCGCCTCCGTGACCTCGCCAAGGTCGCGTGAATTACTTGTCACGACGTCGCAAGCAGCTGAGACTGAGTCAGGCGAGCGTCATAAGTGAAACCTACTACAGATAAAGTCATAAATCGCAAAAACAATAAAAATATGCACGAATGCGCCCCTAAGCAGTGCGTACATACACGAACCTGCCCCACAACGTTATTTGTAATATATTTCAAAATTTTTTGTTGAAAAATGACACTTTTTCAACAAACAAGTTTGCAGCAGCTCCGTGGATAGAGTAAGCTTCTTTGCCGCCAATTTTGAAAAGCCGAACCACATTTCCGAGTCAGGATCACGAAAACGGATGCTATGAAAAAAGTTTGGAAAGCGCACGAATAGGGGAGAGTGGGGCACATTCGTGCAAAAAATGGATAAACCCATATATCTGTTCTTTGGTTAGTGCAATGGCAAAATTGTTGATTGTAGTATGGAAAGGAACTATTGCAGATAGTTTTCCTCTTCAAAAGTTATCCTATAAAATTATTGCTTCCATTAGAAAAAATGACTTTTATTCTGAAAAAAATGACTTTACTCTGAACATTTGCACGAAACTGCCCCACCTATGGGGCACATTCGTTCAAGAGATGGGGCACTTCCGTTCACTTGGCAAAATTCGAGAAATTACCGGGCATTACCAGAAATTTACCAAAGGAAATTGGCAGGGGGTCATTTCACTTGATTCCTTTCGACAAGAATGCATTGCACAACAAATGCAGAAAGAATGGGCTGGCCAACAAGAATGTGCCAACTGCCGGCCTCCGTGACCTCGCCAAGTTCGCGTGAATTGCTCGTCAGACGTCGCAAGCAGTCGAGACTGAGTCAGGCGAGCGTCATTAGAGAAACCTACTACAGATAAAGTCATAAATCGCAAAAACTAAAAAAAAAATATGCACGAATGTGCCCCCAGGTAGTGCGTACACGAACCTGCCCCACAACGTTATTAGTAATATATTTCAAAATTTCTTTTTGAAAAATGACACTTTTTCAACAAACAAGTTTGCAGCAGTTCCGTGAATAGAGTGGGCTTCTTCACCCCCAATTTTGAAAAGCTGAACCACATTTCCGAGTCAGGATCACGAAAATGGATGATATGAGAAAAGTTTGGAAAGCTCACGAATATTACAAATTTGCGTTTTTATCAAGCATGACAGCAGGTACAGTGTTGTCTTCTACGGTGAACGAAGGGCGGCAATGATAGACATATTTCCATAATTTACCTTGAGCTCGGGCAGTCACTCGTGTTCCTATAAAGGTTGGGATTTTCAATAGAAAATCACAATTCTAAAGAATAGTGATTGTCTTAATTGAAAAGTCCCAACCTTCGGATACTGCTGTAAACGAATGTGCCCCATGCACGAAAGTGCCCCGCTCTCCCCTAGTTCAGAAGAAATGTTTCCGCCATTTTGTTTCTAAGACCCACCAGTATTCTGTTTAGCGGAACATATTTATCATCCACCCATACATTGACTAGAGAGCGCTACGCAAAACCAAGTCCCAAGTCTGTCTGTGTATTTGGTTGCTGTTTTTCTCTGTCAATTGGGCGGATAATGGACGTATTACGCTGAACAGATGTACTCGTATGTCGGTGTATGATAATTTTGGTGCATGTTTCTTTTCGTCCCTTTCCCGTCACTTTCCTTCTCCTCCCCTCTCCTTCCTCTCCTTCTCCCTCTTCCTCTTCCTTTCCCTCTCCTTTGCTCCTTTTCTTTCTTCTTTATTCCTCAGGTCCCTTGATTTGTCCCATGTCTAACTATCCATCCTAGTTGATCCCATGATGAGACGGGAGGATTTTCGCAACACACGCACAATGTGAGTACACGCCAGGAGTTACACACGCTCAATGGCAGTAGGAAGACTTCAGGCTACCTCTCGGTCCCCATCAGTCCTATCGTGATCAGCCGGCGCCGTTGTTGATCGGCAGGTCCGGTCACTCCTGTTGGTGAGATATATTTAGTGTCGTTGTCAGATCGGGTCACGGTACTGTATAGTGTCGGCAGGCGGTGTGGTATACATAGTGCCGGTAGTATGGTTATACTGCCGGCAGTGCTGCACGGTGTTAGTGACAGTGGTTGGCGCTGCGGCACAGTGACGGCGGTGTGTTGTCGGTGTGTCGGTGCGCGGCCGACCTGTTGCGCACCCGGCCCGCCGGCCGTCGGCCAGTGAGCGCCGCGACGCCGGCCGGCACAGTTCCGGGGGTCGGGCAGGCGCCGAACCGGGCAGGTGCCGCCGAACAGTCGGTAGCACGGGTCGGGGCGCTACAGGACACCCAAGCAGGTGAGCTGTGGGCGACAAGTTTGGTAGGCGGGCTTTGCGCATATGGTTGGTCTCCACATGTCACTTTTTAGCTTCATTGTTTTACGGAACGTCATTTTTGCACGACTGTCCGTTGAGCCTAACTAGATATCAGGGTCATACAAGTGTACCAGCATAAAGGGTATACAGATATTGCTTTACACGATTTTTGTCGTTACTTTTTATGTTAGCCTTATTGAGTCTGGAGATAATATTCTGAAGTAAAATGAGTACCGGATAGTTGAGATAACCTTGACGTTGTGCTCTTACAAATAATAGGGCTGACATCACGGATCTACTTCTCAAAGGTGCCGGTATTTTTTTTCTGTTCGGTCATTTTCCTGAAGTTTTGACTAAGCTATTCTTACTGGTTCTCGTCGTTGGCAGAAGTATTTTGTAACATTTTGTCTCGGCGTGTCGTGATAGGACTCAGGTGTTCATTTGTCTCGTTGGTCAGTGTACAGAAGATCCCCTCCGTCCGGTGACAGCTGGGTTGTCACACCGGTCTGTGACCAGTTCCTCCGTACTGCACTGTCGATAACTGTCCACCAGGGGCTCATCCGACCACGAAGGTCACCTATGTGCTGAAACGTGTTGAATCGCCTC